TTGTCTTCTTGATAGGGTTCAAAATTACAAGACTACGCAATCGTTAACCCAAAAATTTGGATCGGTTGTTCAACGACAGTTATATAAAATAGAAAATAAATAAATAAAAACTAACAATTTAAGCAATGTCTATTTTTTAAACTCAAATTTTCAACTATGCAAAATATATAAAACTCATTGACGGTATTGTTTCAATCATCTACATTAAATTTTCACAATAAAACAAAACTATTCCTATTTACTTAACACCACGTTAACTTATGAAAAATATGAAATATCTGATCTTGCTAATCAAATTGGGAGATATAACTCAATTAACTTAATGTTTCATTAAAATTGTCTCTCAAAATTGAAGCAACATAGTTATACAATTACTTTATTCAAATATATAATTTGTCTTTCCATGGTGAAAATTTATAAGTATTTTTAAACTTCCAAATAAATTTCGTCCACTTAAACTAACAAATAAATAAAAACTTACAGAATAAAAGTGCCAATTTAAAACTACCAATTGCAAAATTCGCCTTGTATTTTTTTTTCTTTTTTAATCTAATAAAACTATTCTAGAGTTTTGAAATTCTTGAGATTAAAAATTCTAGATTTTTTAAGGTCAAACGATAAAATAAAAATTTTAAAAAGCGTCTTTTTAAATTGATGGAAATAGGAGAAAATAATTTACATTTGTCAGATGTAAAACATGAAGGGGGGATTTTTGCTGGTGGTAGAAATTAATAAGATTATTACGAAAGTGATCCATTCTATATTTTTCTTTTCATGTCTGGGCGAAATAAAATTATTTTTTTCGCTTCATTTAAATTAAAAGAGCCTTTTTTTATATTTTAAATGTGTATTTTATTAATTTCGTGCTATTATTTTGGTGTGAATTTATGTAAATAAGTTATCTATATTAATTTTAGTATAAAATATTAATAATAAATTCTTGCAATGTATTGGCATAGAACTCTAATTGATATGCGAGGACTTAAGTTAGTCAGAAAGTGGTTGATATTTCTTCAAGTGAGGACAAACTTTATTTAGCCTTAAAACAGTGATAAAAATTCTGCTTTTAACCATCAGGAATGATAGAAACTTGTATTGCCATGCAGCACAGATCTGCAGTTAAATTTTAAGCACAAGAACTAGTCAGAAAATGGTCAAAATTTTTATCGATGATAAATTGACAGTGGTAATATGAAGGCTTGCAATACACAACAAATAACTGGAACTTTGCATTGTCATCAGCAGAAAGGTTTTGAATGATTTTTGAATATTCTAGTTATTTGAAGTTTGAATTTTAATTGAAAAATACTATTTGGTAATAAAACAATAAATTCTGCCTGTAGCGATGAAGAAACGACTGAAACTTGATTGGTATCCAATACAGAGCCTCATTTAAAATTTAAGTGCACCAGCTAGTCGGAAAGTGGTCAAAGTTTCGATTGATAATAAATTAATAATAAATGCGATAAATTGTGTTGGTAAAAAACAATAAATGATATCAGAAGCAAAGTTTCAGTCAGATTTGAGCACTCTATTTAGTCAAAAAGCGTTGGTAATTTAAATTACCAGATTCAACCCTAACATAGAAGAAAATGAGTTAATAAAAATAGTAATAATATGAAAACTTAAACCTCAAATTTTAAACCGAGATCTTTAAACTTATTTTAGAAATTTATTGTCAATTTGAGAAATTAATTCAAACAAAAATAATTTATCCTATTTCAGAGAAACATATCTAAATGGATTTAAGTTTTTGAATAAAATTAAGGCACTAAAATGTAACATTTCTGGTAGTGTTACGGAAAAGTTGTAATCAGTTTTTAAAAAGATTTGAAGGAGTATGTTTCAGAGTCAAATACAAGGCTATAAAATATTTAAATAAACTTTATTTTTCAGAGTAAAAAACATTTTTAAACTTTAACATGACAAAAATTCAAGAATAAATTATATGTTTACAAACAGTATTCTCTATCATAACAGAGAGATTTCTAAATATACAGAAAAATAATGGCACTATAAAACTTCATAACAAAATAGCTTGGAAAAATATTTTTCATTTATGATAGTTAATCAATGACTAATATTAGCAATAATTTTAACAACTTATTTGATTCTAAAAATTTAACCAAGATTTCACATCTCAATACATTAACAAATAATTGATGGCTGGTTACCAATGATTTAAATCAAATGATTAAGTGATAAAAAAAATACAATTCTTAAAAAGAATAAAATATTTTAATATATATACATATTTAAAAAGACAAGCTTTATTATTTTTTTTATTAACACTTTCACATACTTCAACAAACAGATAAAAACAATTGCAAACTTTAATGAATTAAAATTTTTTGTCATGGAATTTTCACTGTAGGAAAAAAGCTACATAAAACTTGATATTCAAAACGTGTTTTATTAATGTTTACATTTGCCAATACTTTCCATGGAAACAAGTCTTGTTGCAGTTATTATCAATAATTTTTTTAATCAATATTTTAAATGATACTTTTGAAAAAAATTTCTGATTGCTAAAAAAATCACCTTTTATGATTTTTCTTTCCTTACAAAAAACAAGTTCGTATCGAAAAGATAAAAATAATGATTTTTATGGTATTGATAAAGCATGTTAAAAATGATAATGAATAACACCTGATTTAAAAAAATGCTAGTATAAAATAATATTTTTCCTAAAAATGGAATATTTTGAATCAGAAAAACTTTGCTTTTTTAGAAAAGAAAAGAAAAAGATACACATTCTAAAATAAAATTTAGATTACGGGGGGACTTTGTTATAGAGAAGAAGCTGAAAATTTCCCCTCTCATTTCAGAAGGTCAAAGATCTAAATATATATCACTATTAGAATAGAAAAAAATATTTATTTTAAAAAACTTTACAAAAAAATACAACTTTTATTTTTGTTCAAATGACTATTGATTAAATTAGTAGATGAGTGAATAAAATTGACAATATTAAATGTGATATTTTTTGCAATTAATTAAACAATATATATATAATGAAACAGTAAAATATGATTAATAGGATTTATATATATTTCTGAAAATATGCTGTATATGTCATACAGACTACTTACTGTTTATTACAAAAATAATAAAAATTTTAATAAAACTGTTTTTAAAGCACAATAAAATTTAGTACAATAATTATTTAATAATAAATAATTTCAAAAATTAAAAATATTATTTTTTAAATTTATTCACATAAAAATGATTTGGCATATATCAGTATAGTAGTGTTCAAGTTTTTTTTTTTAAAGCAAGGCAACCAGTTAAACACCTTCAAAATAAAGATTTTGGCACTTCAGTCTTAACCTAGATTTAAGGACTACCTTACTAATTTTACAGCAATGTGATGAAATGAGAAAATTGCTAGACAGCAAAGAAGTATTCAACAAATATAGATATATGATGAACTGAATGAAATGAAATAGAATTTTCATTCTTTTCATTCAGCAACTTCAATTCCTTTAGAACCAATTTTACATAATAAAACACTTTTCATTCTAATATACTTAGTATTTTTTACACTTATTTATAAATCTATAAAAATGTATTTAAGGCATACTGTTTAGTTCATTTTGTCCTGATAAGTAATGCTTTATTATACTATATTATGAATTTAACTTATAACAAAGCAAAGATATTTATACTTTTTAATGCACCGTGCACAAAATAAAATAATAAAAACAAACAAATAACCTAAATAACTTTTAATTTAGTTATTGGATTTTTACACACTAAGATATAATTTTAATATTTTAACTAACTTTAATTATGAAACTCTTTAATTATGAAAGTTAATCTAACTTTAATTATGAAATTTAATTTAGGCTGACAATATTTTAAGTTACAAAACTAATGATGAAAATGTACATTTGCTGAATAAACATACTTTTTGTAATACTTTTGCCCCTAAAAATAACAATATTGAAAATATAGTTCCAATAAGAAATATATCAGAAGTTTAGTAAATTTTATATTATATTCACTTTTTGCTTAGCTCACCATATGTCTAGAACCGTTCCATGGAATCAAAAAGTTTTTCCTACAATTATAACTCATTCATTCAAAGAAAATTTCAAGGTAACTGTAATTTTTTAATAATAATTTTAATATTTTATTATCTAATACAATTGCAATCAGGAAAAAAATGAGTATTAAAATAAACAAATGTTCGCACCATTTTAAACAATTTAATTTTAAATGGCACAATCAAAAATTTTAAAACAATTAGTCATATAATTTCTGAGTTATGGGATTCAGAAAAAAGTTGCAAATCTTAATTTTTCATTTTTAGAACACCATTTGATTGATGTCTTCAAAATGTTTCATTTTGTCATTTCAATAAAATTTAAAATTTCGAAAACTTTTGCATATCTTGTAGTTCATAAGTTGTATTACAATCATTATATTAAATGATAAAAATAAAAATGAATCATAGAAAATTTTTTTGCTTCTTTGGTAAAATAAGACAATAGTTTGTAAAAGTTTTTTATTCGCACAAATAGTTCTAAAGATAAAGAAAAAATACGAAAAAAGTAGAACTGACAATAAAGAAAAGACATTTTTCAATGCTCTACTGACTAAACTACTAAAAAAATAATAATAAATTTGAAGCAAACCCCCATAATTTTAAAGTTAAAAAACTAATCTGAAGAAAAAAAAGTTTGGTTTATTCAGAAAAAAAAGCATTCTTGTTGTCCTTTTTTGTAATTTAAAACATCATTTGCACAAATTTATTAGCATATTTAAAGTTAAATCCTTAAAATTATATCTTAGAAAATAAAAACCCGATCATTAGATCAAAAGCTGTTCCATTTTTAATTATTCGTACATTGTAGAGGCATCAATAAAATAAATTAAGTTTCCATAAATGCTTCGTATTGTTACGAAGGAAAAAAAAATATCAAATACAAAAATATATATATAATTCAAAAACAACAACAATATAAATCTTCAATGTATACATCACATTAGATTAGATGTATACATCATATGACATCATATTAGAATTTATAATGAATAGATATAAACATTTAATGACTTAACAAAAGCACTTTCTTGACTCATTACCATGACAGTGTTAAAGTAAATGCTATCACATGATATAAATTTCAGATAGTGCACTAGTTATGTGACATGATAGTTCAACTGGTAAAACAGTGAAATCATCAATTCCTGTAGTGTTTGAGGCTTGCAATATTCCTCCAACCAACTGAAAACACAAGCAGAGAGTTCTCCAAAATTTGAAATAGATACTGCTGAATTGAAAGATTGAAATAAAGTGTCACACACTGCCTGGAACTAAAATGAAGCAAAAATAAGTTCAATTATTAAACAATATGAATACAAAATTTCAATGTTCATCTGTGTTCGAGCAAAGTAACTATGCACACATTCTTAGAAGATAAAATACTTAATTTACAAGTTCTTGAATTTGGGGATTGACATTTTACATGAATTAACTATAACATTTCATTTTCATGCTGAACAGTATGATATATTTCAACATGGTTATTTTTAGATTCTTCTGAGTTACAGATTTATCAAAGTGACTTTTGCTTGAATGTTAATTTGTATACTTTCATTATAAAAATACAGAGTTCATGTCAAATAATTCTTATCTGACAAAGAAGCATTTTTATTTTTTACTTTTAGAAGTATGATGGAACAAAAATGAGGATACATAGGAGAAGAATTTCTAATGTCACACTTTACAGTCTAGGAACAATTTAAATATTTTCCATAAAGCTAAAAGATTTTTTTCTTTTTGTTATATTGTGTGGGTACTCAACTTAAAAGTGTCTATTTAATCAAATCATAAATTACCAGATTTTAAAGATTTACATCAAATAAAATCTCATCAATTGACAATTTTGGAAGATATTTATGGAAAGAATTTGCATTTTCCTAGTAGAATTTGTAATATTGCTGAAATTAAAAAAAACTCTGAAAGCCTTCTTCATAAATTTTATATATTTGCTTAAATGTTAAAACGGTGTTATCACATACTTACAAAACAACTTCTAAAAATCTCTGTAGTGTTTTTTATTTTCGTTATTTACTTAAAATTATTTTAGACCAGTGTAATTTTTACTTATTTTTAGTGCAGTCATAAAAAAAATGAAAAATATTTTCAGAAGAATCAAACAGAGAAAAAAAAACATTCAGTTAATGTCCCGAATTTATAAAAAACAAAAATAACAATTTGATGAGGATGTATTTCTTTTTAGTGTAATAACAGCACCTCAAAATAAAACACAACTAATATTTTAAAATAAGAATTTTGGAAAAATGACATTTTTTTTTAGCAAAAACGAAAACCAAACACTAGTATGAAACAATTAATCACCTCTGACATTATTAAAACCTAATATTTAATAACAGAAATATGAACAGTGGAACCTTATTCTAAATACAACTCACCACTTGAAATTTCATGTCCTCACTAACTTTATTAGAGTTTTTATTTGGTTGACTTTGATGAACTTTAACAATAGCTTCATAGTTTCTGCAAATGATGAAAGAAAAAAAAGCATTAGGAAGCTTATTAAGAGTATTCTATCAGTAGATAATTTTTAATAATAAAATATGAAAGGAAAAAAAAACAGATTTCCTTTTTATATCCTTAACTAAACATTATGCTTTTAAAGACGTTTTACTTTTCTTTACAACACTAAAGGAAAGAATGTAAGAAATGATCATATTAAATTAAATTTTCAACAATTATCTTTCATATAAAATAATAAAAACATGATAAAAAAATTATAAAAACATGATTAAAAAAAAGAATAACAAAAATTAAATTTGCAGTAGTCAAAAATGAATAATATGTTTTATCATGCTGAGTAGCTGCGTAGAACAAGACAATTTTTCTATAATTATGCATTGCTCTTACAATGTTCACATTTAAGGAATAAGAAAGGAAATCAAATTTAAAATGGAAAATATTATTATTTTTTTAAAGCACTAATTATAATTTTAAATAAAAAAAAATCTGAATCAATAATATTTTTAAATAAGACCGTATCAAATCACTGTATTATAAAATAACATAAGAAAATATGTCATATGAAACAACAGAGCAATATGAAATATGTTATATGAAACAACAAAGGCATATAAAACACGCATATCAAACAACAGAGATTCAAGCCATTGCATCGTGCAAAGTGTTCCAGAATAAAATAATATTCTCGCCAGCTTGATGTCTCACTGATGAGATTAAATGCTTTTGGCAGAAATTTTCTTTGAATTTGGATCAACTATTTTCCTCTTTGGCACTAGTTAGATGCAACAGCTTAATACTTTTGGAAAAATTCAGAAAAACAATTCTAATCTATCGAATATTTAATAATACAATAAATTCTTATTCAAAACAACTAATATTACTCATCAATTCAAACTTAGCCACTTCCCTGATTATCCTGAGTTAACTCGGGTATTCAGGTTACCTGAGTTAACTCAGGTAATCTAATTAACCTTCCCTGATTATCCTGAGTTAACTCGGGTATTCAGGTTACCTGAGTTAACTCGGTTGTTGCTGTTCATGTATTCAGAACAGCAACATTATAAATATTTTCAAATATTGCAAATATTTATATGTTGACAAAAATTGGGAATATAGCACGATTTGTTTTGTCAGTACATTTTGCTTTATCACAGATTTACTCAGCGGGAAGTAGAAAAATAATAATAATAATCTGCTGCGATTGGAAGTTTGCCAAGTTTTGTTTGAGAGTTCGGCTGTTGTATTATTGGACTGCACACGTCTTTAGTGTAATTATATATACGATGGTTGCTGAATTTACACGAGTAAAAAAAATGGCACACCACTTCACTGGCGTGTTGAAAGTATCACTTTGTGTTGTCCATTGTTTTAAAAACTATCGAAAAAATACTAATATTTAACCTTTTTTCATTCGCCCGAGGTAACTTGGAACTGATGGCAAATTAAATGTTTTTCACACATAAAAAAATTAAAGTTTCTACTTGTTTAGTTTTATTTCCTTGTATTAATAAAATAAAAAAATATGCTGATTTTTTGAATTTTTTTTTCTTTAAAAAAATTGATAAGAGAAGCTGTTAAAGGAAATTTTAAATTCAAAGCAATTTTGCAAATAAAATTTAGTTTGGGAACAAATCTAGCAATATTCTGAGAAAAATACTTGTTTTTAATACGAGTTGGAACATATTTGGCTAAATTTTTAAACAAAAATATCTATTTTGAAGCACAATTGGGATGAATTACAACATAGCTTTAAATACTACATAGCCTTGGTGCAAATTGAGTCAGCTCAAACCAATTCGAACATAGTGAATCAGCTAAAATGAATTGGAGCAGCGATGAGAAGATTAATACATTTAAGATGGCCTGGGACAGCAATCACAATTTAGAGCAGAAACATAAGTTTGATATTTAAATTCTCTTCAATAATAGTTAAAATTAAATATAATAAATTTGAAAAAACCCTAAAAAAATAATTACATAACTAAGATTTCAGAAATAAAGAGTAATATGCTAAATAAATAATCTCACGTTTTCATGATTTCCAAGGCTCTAACTTCCTTTCTCAATGCAACCAGTTCCTCATCTTGTTTCTTCTTTTGTTGAAGGAGGAAGTGAATGTAATCAATTGCTAAACAAAATAAAATAATATTGAATAAGCAATAAACAATTTATAATAGTGTAATGGACTCTTTTTAAATGAAACTAAGAGTAATATTCGATCAAAAGATGTTGATTTGTTAAAATATTTGAATAATCTAAGATGGAAATAAACAAAAAAAAACAAAGCATTAAAAAACTAAAACTTACCAGAAATACTTAATTTTACTGTTAATATTAATAAGTGCTAGTTTCTTTAAAAAAAAAAATTACAAAACCATAACTTACCAGAAAATTTACTTCATTTTACTGTTAAATTTGATGCAAGATCACTTACGATAAAAACACAAAGCATTATCTTAATCATTTCACAGATTAAATTTGAGTACAGTTGGATGATCCGAATATAAGGGGAGATCAGTAAATTTTGGATAAAGGAAAATTCTGGGTATTTCAGTGACAAAAATCTATTTTTAATATTAATTTATTTTCTGGCCATGCCTCAAAAATAAATACTGCAATCAACAGTTATAAAAATCAAAATAATAATAAAGGAGGGAAGTCCTATTAATACTTGCATGTAAAAATTATCAAAGTCATCAGTAAATAATAAAAACTGAAATTTCAAAATGGGAACAAAGCACAAGAGAGAAACATTAAAAAAAATTGTACCATCCATTTTCATTATTTATTGCTGATTCTTCATTATTTATCGCTATTTTCATATTACAATATTTACTTGAAAAATGTAGCACCATAAAAGAGACATCAACAGAAAAAAAACTTAGATAAATCAGAATAGCTACTAATAGGTAGGTATTTTCTTTATTTTGTATTAGAGCTGCGCAATGCGGTATAGGCAGCGGTCTGGGATACATCTCGGCAGAGGATACAAAGACATGCCATCACAATCTGTGAGGTCACTTCCCCAATTTAAACATAGATCTGAAGGGGATGGAAATTTTCTCCAGATCCATATACTTATGGTGCTGCTCAGCAACCGACCACAGGACTTTTGATTACACAAATTTTACAAGCATGTGTATCACATGTGCTTGGTGGGTCCCAGCGGAGTGGAGGATCGAACCTCTGACCCTCCGGACCAGAGTCCGATTCTCTAACCACTGAGCTACCACAACCCGAACTACTATAAGAAAAATAATAACATAGCTTTGGAATTCTATTTTTAAAAACTTCGGAAACATATAGAAAAATTTTCTTTCAAATTATAATTTATTAGCTATTTAGTAGTTTTACTTATTTTTATGTTACATTTATTATTTTTCTATAAGCTACTAATAGAAAAATAATAAATGTAACAAAATACTATATAATAAAAAATACTATAGTTAATGAATTCTAATTTTAAAGAAATTTTTTCATAGATTTCCAAAGCAATGCAAAAATAATTGACATAGAATAACAGATCTATGATTTTGTTCTGTGCCACATTCTTTCCTTGTTTCTCTTAAGATTTAGAAAACAAAAAAAGAATACAACCTAACCCTAGGCACTATTTATTCCAAGAGGTAAGGAATAATTTTATACCAGATTAGGAATTTAAAAAAAGAAATATTAGGTCATCAAAAAATTGTAAAAAAAAATAATACTACTTGTGAAACTGGATTCTTTTTCAGGAAATTGTAAGAAATAATATAATAATAATTATAATTTTTATTAAATATACTTACATTTTTGAAGTATTGCAGCTTTGCTCAGCTTATAACTACTTATACTATCTTGCTGATGACAAGTTGGAACAAGTGATTGTAAATCTTCATAGCCTCTCTAAAAATTATTTTTATACAAAAAATATTAAAAAAATTATAAAAAAATATTATAATTAATTATTATGAAACAGCTCTCAAAAATAAATAATCCCTTTTAGTGATTATAAAGTTTTAATAAGTAAAACTGCTAAAGCAGAAAGGGCTAAAATTGGGACAATCAAAGCCTTTGCAGGACAATTTATGTTTGAAACAGTACTAATTACAGTCAGGTTCCTAAAGACATTTTATACAAACGTAATCTGATGCTTAATTAATTAAGGTTATTTTTATTTATTTATTTTCAAATTTAGTGCACAAAATTAAAAGATTTGACTCTTAAATGATGGTTATAATTTAATTAGAGAAAAATGCTTGCTCATCTTTAATGATAAAATACAATTTCTTTTGATCAAAAATCTTGTTGCAATACATTAACTTTAAGCTAGGTTCTGAGAACAAAACAAAATTAAATAATGAAGAAAATGAACTTATATTTATTATTTCTCTTTTTTATAACAAATGAGCACCATCAAAAAATCTTAACATTTTACAAAGTGTGTCTAATATGAAAAGTTCAATTTCAAGTTCAAGACATAAAATAAGAATATAGCAAGTTAACATATTGAACATTTACAGTAAGTATTTATATCAAAAATGTACTTAAATTGAAGACAGAACAAGAATTTAAACAACTAGATAACTTCCATGGTTAATTTTCATAGCAAAGTTAAACCGCATGTCACAAAAATAAAATATAACATGTCATACTTCAGGAAGTTTTATTAGAATAAATAAAAATAAATACAAAAATTATCCATTCAACTGCAAGTAAATATACTTAATATAACTTGCGATAAAATTATGCTTAGTAACCATTTTTGAGGCATTTATAAAAGTGTCTACAGTAGCCTTTCTTTAACCCCTACAACACTTAATAAATCGTTGACAAATTCAAAGGAATGAATACATTGGTTTTTTTCAAAAAATTTTATATAAAAATTTATTTTTAAAAAGCACATTCCTTATAAAAACAATTTAAAAAGATTAGAAATTCATTTTATTATTGAATATATTAAGTTTATGATATTTTTGGTAAAGATATTTTTTAACACAGGTTTTTTTACAAATTTAAGGCAAGTTTTATGTTACATCAAAGTGTTGCACAAGTAAGCGATTTAATATCTGCTAAAAAGAACAAACACTTGTCAATTATTATATTAGAGTTAATATTAATATATAGTTATGCTATGCAATGATGAAAACAAGTTTTTAATTAATTTACATAGTGACCTATTTTTTTAAATAAGACAAAATTAGTAAGTTTCACATATTTTTGAACATAAACATAAAGCTACATTTTAAAACAAATTTTCACTAGGCACCTATTTATGAAAGTAAACTAAAATAAAGCAGAGGATTTGCAAACATCCTTTTCTTAAGTTTAGATCATCCAGGCGCTCTCCATTATTTAAAATAAGTCTTGAAATTTAGTATTTCAGTGCTTAAATTACATATGGGTTAAAAGGCTGTTATTTAAACTTTTACATAAATATGTAGTGATAAAATTGGTAACAAACAAAGTAATGTTTAAATTATGAAAAAGCAATGATAACAAAATAGATATAACTGTGAACAGATTGTACTTTTATAGCATCACGTCTCTTTTGCTCTGCTTGAGTGTGGGCTTCACGTCTCCGTTCCTTATAGGTTAAAGTAGGCTTATCATCACTGTCTTCATCATCTATAAAATAAAATAAAAATATATAAATGGAAAATAATGAAATAAAAATCGGATGCAGAAAGATTGAATTTTTATGAAAGCAACAAAAATAATAAAATAAAATATATAAAACACTAAAAAAAATTGTTAATGAATTGAAAAGAAACTCTTTTTGTTATACTTTTATTTTTGCTAAATCTTCTTTTCATAAAACTAAATTGATCAGTATAGCTATAAAAAACTTATTTTAATTACAAAGTTTCCAAAAAAAAATTTATGTTAACTTTTCTCATAGACTAATTATCAAGTGGGCAATTCTGTGGTGCCGGACATAAAAAATAAACACAAATTTCTTAGAAAAGCTCTCTTTCAAAATATAAGTTAAATTTAGAATCATCTAATTTTAATATCAAATATATAGGACATCATAACCTATCAAAAAACAATTTGTTTTATATAAACTGAAAATGATAAGTTCAAATTAAATGAATTAAACTGCCTGTTTCGGACATAAATCACACGAAAGCAAAATATGAGTATTAATTTACAAATTTTCTAAATTCGACAAATTTCTTTATAAATTGAATGTAAACTTCACTGAATTTTGAAGCTGATATTTGAATAAAGAATTTTAGGAGTTCTTAACTTATAAAATATGATATATAATTAACTTGAAATTTTTTACTTTGGGGTCGGATGTAAATTCTTTAGATTGGATGCATGTGTCATTTAATGATAACAATTTTAAATACTGAAAACTACTTTAATTTTTATCTTAATACTAAAAACATTATTTTTTTCATTAAATAGCTTCTTAAAATTTAATTATGACTTCTTGAAATGAAAATTTAGATATGATTGCTCCTGAAAAAGGTAATTTATAAAGTAAGTATTATTTGCTTAGATGTGTTTGAAACAAAATGATATTTATAGGGCTAAAATACCATATAGTGATAACTAAAGAATGAATGTTATCGTTGTGCCCTCTGTGGCATTAAGAAAAACAGGTAAACAAACCAATGTCAATTGACCTGGCCAAAGACCATAAATCTTTTATAGTAAGTTAGAAATATGGATAAATATCCCTCTGATAGGTCACAACCTAAATTGATTAGTAGATATTTTTGGTTTCTTTATTGATAGAAATTATTGATCTTTCATCAATAAAGACCATATTTCCTACTCATTAGCTTTAACTTTATAAAAAAATCAATGTACTAATGATTGACTACATATTATTGTTATGATTTTTATGTGATGTTATCAATTTGTTATGAGAAGAAATAATCAATTGAAATATAAAGATTTTATATTTTCAAAGTTACTTAGAAAAAACATGTAGCTATAGATTGAAACTTGAATTTATGCATTTCGATAAATATATACCTAAAGATGACCCAGCATCGATAAAGATCAACCTAATTATTTAACTGATTAAAGTCATATATGACTATATAACATGCTTATAAAAATAAAACATATATGTTTTATTTATAAAATAAATTATTATAAGCAATACCTGAATTATGAGCTGATGATGAGTTGAATAGGTCAAGAGATCCAGCTGATGATGTGCTAGAAAATGAATAGCGTAATGAACCTGTATGAGGACTGAGCAGGTCATTTTCAGAACCTAAATTTAAAACACATTTTAAAAAATTAAAAAATAGACATCATTTACGGATTAATTAAAATAATTTAAGAGAAAGCTTTAAAATATGAAAGTGTCAGACTCCTAAGATATTTTACTTAATGTAAATAAATAATTCAAAACCTTCTTGCGAAATAATTTAATCAAAAAAATTTTGTGCTGAATATAATAAAAATTTAAACTTAGAAGAGTAAGAAACAATCTTAAAAAATAAAATTAATCGAAAGAAAGTACTTAAAAAAAACATATATTTTGACATGAAAAATTTATTAATATCAAGTGAATATTTTATGTACCTTAATAATGCTTGTCCACTACTTTCTGCATGCTAAGTGGATTCTTAATTGAAACATTTAAAAAAAAAATGTTTTAAACTAAATAAATCATACATAAAAGCTCAATTATTTAATCATTATTGATCAAAGTACTTGTCATCATCACACACTCATAATCTCAATTGTCACAAGAAGTCGCTATTTTTTCGAAAAAGCCCAGCTCACTTGGGTTTTCAATCATTTATCCAGGTTTTTATAGAAAACCTTTTTTTTTTCAGAACTACTTTAAACTTTAGACCATTAAAATATCACATTATGAAATTAATTAACTAGTAAAATAAATTATTGACCAATCCATGAAAATACATGTGTATTTATTGGTTTACTATTTATCACAACTTTAAGACACACATGTTCAGGGGAAAAAAATTCATGAAAAAAATAAAATTAAACAACTGAAAAGGATTTTTATGCAACACAAATCAAAATCAAGAAAACTTAATAGAAGAAACTATCAAATACTTCAGATAATACAATATTTAATATTTTCAAAAAAATTTTAAAAACATGAACTTAAAGTGCAAAAATATTTATTTTCTGTCTTTTCCATGCACCAAATTATTTCTAATTTTTGATTGCACTAAACCATGTGCAGAAAATACAATTAAACATCTCACGCAGGCAAAAGTTGACTATTATTTTTTTTTTCTTTTATTCTGTTACTTCATAAAAATTAGAATTTCAAAAATATCTTCCACTATTCCATGAGGGACATTTAAGATACACTTTCCTGGGAAGAAAGGACTGCCCTAGCTACGAGCTTCAATAAATGTTATTAGATTATTAGAATTTTCTTCTTAGCTTAATCAAAAGTTTCTTTCTTTTCATATTCATTTAATTTTATCCACAGAAATGAGGATCAATCAAATATGGCAGAAAACAAAGATCTTATCACTTGGTTCTTGCATTGAATAAAAAAGTTTAATTTTTTTTTCATACATAGTTAAAAGCAGTCCTGATAGCAGTATGAATAATAACATATAGTATAAAGAACAGCCACTAAAATTCTATTAAAGTTAAACACAGGTAATTTGAAAATAGCTCCCTTTCCCTACCTAAAATTAAACAAGTAAATAAACTTAAAATTTTACACATAAAATTATAACTAAGTACATGTTAGAAAAAAAAATTAAATTTAAATCATAGATTTTTTTCACTTGGTTTTTTCAAAAAAAAAAACTCCAAGTGATTTAAATTAAGCTGCTTTAAATCAGCAGACCTCAAAAACATCTATCATAAAAGTAAAATGTTTGATAAATAAATAATTATTATTAATTTTGCTGCAACATTTTATTTGTTTTTGTTATTTACCAAAATATTTAATGCACTTTTAAATTACTAATAGCTTCAACACATTATTCTAAGAAATATAAATTTTCTTCAAAATAATTATTTTTTCTAACTAAAAATTAAATTAAAATCATTAATGCAATGATTTTAAATGAGGTTTCATTAAGCCTGACTAAAAATTAAAAGGACAAAAATAGAGAGGATAGATCTTATGGTACTTGGCATGGATACAAATATATATATATATATATATATATATATATNTAAGATATTTTGTCCTAATTCGGTTTTGAGTGCTAAATGACCTTGCAACAGATGCTGAAGAATTCGGAATCTCTAAGTAAATTTGCAGCATTGAAAAAAATTTAAACGTCTTACATGAAGAAATATTACCTTCCGTGAACATGTGGTTGCAGAAAAATGTGTTCTGAAAGGTGTTCTGTCATTCAGGGGGGGGGGCATTGTGTTCTGCTGTTGGCACCGGTTATGAACAATACTGGTAAATAGGGAAGCTAGATAACAGGGATCCATGTTGAAAATAATGAAAGATCAAGGAAGAAAAGTGAAACGGATTTTATTCAAAATGGCAGAAGACGAATTTTTTTCCAAAATTCAAGCATTTTGAAATTGATTAATAGAGTGCGCGATCTTCTCGCGTTGATAATTTTTTAATGAGAAAAAAGAAAAAAATAAGCGAGATTCTCGCCTTCTCGCGCTGTAGTGAAAACACTGATGGATACAAATATATATATATTTATATATCCCTGAAACAGAAAATTGGGATTCAGGGAGTTGTACAGATGAAGGCAGCTCCATAATTTTGTGACCAATGGCATGGTGGCAGAAATGCTGTTATTATTGCGTACCAAACGCTTTTACTCCCTAAACAAGCTGGGTGGTATTTAAGTCGCAGCTAGGGATTAAACTTCTGTTCTTCAAAATGACAGCTCAACTTCTTAATCACTAAGCAATCATTTAATATGAAGTACATATGTAAATCTTGTACAAAATTTAATTTCAGTCTTTTGCGTAAATTCTTCTAAATCCTTGTAAATAAATATTTCATTCGTATACTTGGTATATATAACTGCAATATCAGTAGAACTTATTACCACATTCAATTAATGGGGTCCCCAATTAATCATCCTTGAATGATTTTTTTAGAAACCAAACCCCAATAAAAAAAAAAACATGTAAGAACCAATACTAAGTAGAATAAAATAAAACTAGAAAAGATTTTTAGAACAAAAATCTAAAACATTTTAGAATGCAGCTCAATTTACCAGAGTCAAACTTTGATTCTGTAAAGTGTGATTCAGCCATCTAATATGTTACAATCTCCTCAGCAATGAAACTGAAAACAAAAATTAATGAAATTTAGACATATTTTTGAAAAATGAATAAATGATGTTTTATGAATTTGTAGCCTTAAGAAAAAATAAAATCTAAAGTTTAATTAACAAATTTAATGGCAAATTTTTACACTTTCCTTTTTAACATAATAGTAAATTAATGATAAAAAAACTGAACAGAGATGCATATGATATTAGATTACATTATTAAACTTCTATTTTTTAAAAATTAGCTACTTAACAAAGATGGTTACAAATATATATAAGATAAGCAATCAAGACAGATTAAGTAATCTAATTTTGTTCACAGTTTTTCTTTACAGAAATGTTCATTGCTCAAAGAAAAATAAAAATGATTATACAACATTAATTAAAATAGATTTAATTACTTTAAAAAAAGTCAGGATTTAAAAGAAATTTCTGCTTATGATCAACCATACCATCGAATAAAATATTTTATCAAAACAAACAATTAGTCAGAGGTGGGGGGAGAATCTTTTTCTATAACATTCAGCATAATTTTAGCTTTTAACTTACTACTCTCGGTAGAAAGAACAGTTTTAAGGTGATTCGTTCAAATTTAAAGAATCAGTTGAAAATCAGTCTTTCGTCATTGCTCTCTTCTCGTCAGTCAAGTTGTTGACAAATATTTTTCTTTCATATATATTTAAATATTTAGTGAAAGACTATTTAATTTTAATATTTTCAATATGTTATCAGTTAGTAGATCTCAACTTAATAAAGTAGGTTAATTTCAAGTTATTTCCCATTCTTCTTATCTGTTGTCAAATTTCTTCCGCAATTGCTTAATCGCAATTTTTTAATGATTTCATTAATAAGATATTGATATCAGTATTAAATTTTGTTTAAAATAAATTGTTAATTGCAGAAATTTATTTGCACTAATTAATTAAAAATTAGTTTGTTATGATACTAAATATATAAACATTCTGCAAAGAGTTATGTAAACTTGTTATATAAACATTCATTATTAGCCTTTAGTTCTTGTTGACAATTTTTAATATCAAGTCTAGGTTTTAATGCTAAATTTGCAAAATAAGTGAATTTGTCTGTAAAGACAGGATGAGGATTTTTATCAAATCAGTCAGTTTATTATTAAATTTTTAAAATTAAAATTTTTCCTCCCTTTCAGAATTAATGTTAAAAGACGTAAAATGTTCTGAGTTTACTGTCTTTTAATTATGGCATGAATTTAGTATCTGCCAATTGTAAAAAAATTTCCCTAAACTTAGCAAGTGGTTTTTTTTTCATTATTATTTGGTTGCAGTGATTATCTGCTTGACCAGTGCTGTCAAATAATTTTTTTAATTATTTGACAGCGTGATTATTGGGAAAATAATAATACTATATACTATCAACTTAAAACACTTTATTTACATTGAAAAAAAACAAACATTTTGCAATGTCTCAGTTATACACGTAATTCATCTTAAAGTAACATCAGTGTGACTTCTGTTGTTGCAGATTAGATGACCAATAACTTATATTAGATTGTAAGATGTTAGTTTNTTTTTTTTTTTTTTTTTTTTTTTGCTTGTTAATTATTATTAGCTTGTTTTTTATGGTTATTAATTGTTTTTGTGGCGTTAATTTATTTTGTTAATGATCGTTTATTTTTTTGTTTGCTTTTTGTGAATTTTAATTTAATTGTTCATATGCTTCATAACAAACTTTATAATCAGCGTCCCCAGAATAGTGTGTTGCGTGCCATAAATGGCACACATCCCATTGATTTGTCATCCCTGTGCTAGACTATAAAAACTATAAGTCCTTAAGATCAAAGACTTTTTTGAATTTTTGGTTCATATTTAAAACATAATTTTCTACCTATTTATATATGTATTAATGTGCATATTCATGATTATTCCATCTATTGATAGATAAAACAAGAAATTTTAAAAATATGCAAATATTTAAAATATTGTGTGACTTTCTACAAAGTATCTGCCTATAAAGTGCATATTACAGGAAGATGTGCATATTAGTATTTGTGCCAAAATAATCATCAAGTTTTGGCATCTTCCAAGCATTAGGTACCTAAAAAAAAACATCACAGAAAGAGACTTTGAAGGGTGTAACTCGAAGTCATGTCATGCAAGACTCTACATCTTTACTTTTTTAATTTTTGAAAGTCTGAAATCCCTTTGTCAACTTGGCAATTGTTGTTGGTGCGAACATGTACTAATATAGCATAACATACTTGAAATGAGTGCCTCAAAAATTCTATTTTTATTAAGTGTTCCTTTTTTCTCTCTCCTTTTCAGGCTAGTTTTTCAATTCTTCGTCGTTTTAAGAGTACACTTGTAATAGCAGAACATAATGATGGGAAGGTTATTCCTATCACTTTTAATGCAATTACAGCAGCAAAACAATTAGGAAATGAAGTCACTGTTTTGGTAGCTGGAGCTCAAACATCTTCAGTAAGTTGATTGAAATTTTCGACTTTTAACTATCAAATTATATTTGACATATTGAAATGCAATGAATGTTTAAATATTGTTTATAGGTTGTTAGTGAAGTTTCTAAAGCAAGTGGAGTTACAAAAGTTCTCATGGCAGAAAATGAAGCTTTCAAGGGTTTATTGCCAGGTAAGCATGATTAAAGTCTATTTTCTTTCTATGTATTGATTAGTATTTTAGCAATTTTTGTTTTAAAATGTAAGTTTTTGTCTAAGTATTTTCGTTTATTTTTATGCTGGAATTTCAGTCCTTAAGTTCAAGTTTAATACAGTAGGGAACCGATTATCCGGAACGATCAGGACCATCGCTATTCCGGATAACTGATTTTTACGGTTTTCTTAATCGCTACAAAAAGCTGTTTTTTTATTGTTAAACCCAACTGGAAAAAAAATAATAACAATTTTTGGTAATAATCTTCAAAAGAAGAAAAAACGATGAAGTAATACACTGATGATTATTTCCAAAATGATTTTAAGGTAAACATCTTTCAAAAAAGAAAGAAAAATCCTAAAATTTTATGAGGAAAAAAAATTTTTTTTTTAAAAAACTGGCGAGAAAATTTATTGAATTTCGTTCCGGTTTTTTGGTTTTCCGGTTTTCTGAATTCCGGATAATGGGTTCTGTACTGTACAAGTTATTTTAATTACCGTTTAGATTTTCTGAATCTGAATGATTAATATAGCCAATCAAAAAAAGATTTTTTAAAGCATGCTTTCTGAATGAACTGTAATAAATTAGACATTGCTATTCTCATTTCTCTTTTTTAAAATTAAATTATATTCAGGTAATTTATTTTTATAACTGCAGAAGTGACATTTCAAAATAATTACACATTATCATTAGCATAAGAAATATGTAAATTAAATAGCGGAAAATCCGTTTCAAAGACTGGTAAAAATGTACCCATGCTTTTGAATTTTCTTAAGAACAAGTTGTTTTTAATTATTAGTACAGTAGGGAACCGATAATCCGGAACGATCGGGACCATCGCTATTCCGGATAACTGATTTTTCCGGTTTTCTGAATCACTACAAAAAGCCAATTTTTTTATTGTTAAACCCAACTAAAAAAATTTTTTTTGGAAATAATCTTAAAAAGAGGAAAAAACGATGAAGTAATACACTAATGATTATTTCCAAAATGATGGTAAGGTAAACATCTTTCAAAAAAGAAAGAAAAATCCTAAAATCTGATGAGGACAAAAAAAAAATTTTGTTTAAATTGCTGGAAAATTTATCGAATTTTGTTCCGGTTTTTTGGTTTTCCAGTTTTCTGATTTCCAGATAACGGGTTCTGTACTGTACTAGAGTTAAATCATTTAATTATTAGTACATTTAATTATTTTTAATTATTAGTACTGGAGTTAAATCATTATTGGAAATTAAATCAAAGTTTTAAATGCTATATGAAGATATAATATTCTTATTTGTTAGAATTGTTCTTCAAAGTTCCGTGTTTAGTTTAAAAGCTATTTATTTTTCCTCATAATTAAATTCACGAAATAATATAGGTGTCTGAAATGTGTATCTAAATTAGGAAAGTTATATTAATGTATTGTGAATGTAATATTTGCATAAAATTAAGTTAATTAAATTTGAGTTTTGTTTATTATAATGCTTTAGTTCTTTATTTTTAATTTTCAACACGTTCAATATTTATCTAAATTTTCTTATAATTAATTTACATGTTATTAATAATGCTCATAAAGGTAAAGTTTGATAGAAAAATTTTCTGATTTATTATAAGGTTTTCTTAAGGTTATAAATGCATGGCTGTGAACTCTACTGGATTTTCCAGTAGACTGCTGGATTTAGCCAGTTTCTCCTGGTCTACTGGTTTAATTAAAATTTCTCCCAGTTTTTGTACATTTTCGAAAATTCCCTATAATTGACTAAGTTTACTTTAAAAAATCCCTATTGGAGTAGAATTTTTGTGCAAATTATTGCTTGCTTGAATATTTAAATAAGTGTCACTAAATACATAATGAATTGAGCCTAATTTATAAAATTCAGTTAACTATCTTTGATGAATTAAATGCCTATTACTATTCAAAATAATCAGCAAACATAATACATAACATTTCAAGATCATTCAATGTGAAATCATAACTAGAAAATATTGCAGTTTTTCTATTTTGATGACTATAAAAATCCCTGAAATTCCCTATGATCAAAATATTTAGTATATTTTGCAACATTAATATTGAAATTTATATTATTTTGTAAAATCTACTGGATTTTTTTCCTATCCATGTTGGCAGCTATGTAAATATAGATTTAAAGCTTTCTCTATCATTTTATAAGTTAAATTATGTATGAAGTAATTTTTATTTCTAAAAAAACTAATCTATTTTTGTGTATTGTGCATATAAATTTCTGATTTTTCTGCGTTAATACTATTGAAAGTTGCACCAAATAAAACAAGATAACCTAAACTGTTCCTTTTGCAATTGAATTAACATTTATCTCCTTAGATACAAAATAAATATTTTAAAATGTTATAGCTAAGTTTTTGTAATTTTGCTTATTTTTATTTTTAATTCTGAATTTATAATATGCATGTTATTGACTAACTTGCTTATAATTTTTTTCAGAAAGTCTTACACCATTAGTTTTAGCTACTCAAAAACAATTCAGTTTTTCTCACATTGTGGCTGGAGCCTCAGCTTTTGGAAAGGTAATGATCCAGTTATATTTTTAAACAGACAAAACATTTCAAATATATTTTTATGATTTTGGTTGATTAAAATGAATTTTTGATTTTGTAATCAATGTTGATTTTGTCACTTTTATGGATATTGCTATTGTGAAAAAAAGTATACAACAAGTCTTTGCTGTTATCAATGGCCAGGATAGTTACAGCTGTTAGCTTTGCTGCTTCATGGCTGTAAAGAATTTTTTTTTCCAGTTTTCCTAGTCTTTAATAGTTTCTTTGTGAGAGTTGGGAACTAGTTAAGTTTTAACAGATACTAATATAGATCTTTACAGGGTTGTAAAAACACTTTTTTCACGATTTGAGTGGGTTTTTTCCAAACTTAACTAAGTTTTTCATCATTTTTTTTTTAATTCTTTATAGTTTTTTATTAAATCTTACTGCATTAATAAATACCATTAATTTGATTAATAGAATTATTAACATGTTTTATTATCAATGTAATTTACATTGATGAATTAGTAATAATATTTTTACTGACAATAGTAGGGCTCAATTATCTTTGTAGGATTTACCTATTCTGTTTTAGAATTATGAAAAACCACTAAATGGTTCAGTGAAGATATAAATTATTTATTTTTATTTTTATCAGGAAAATGTATTTATGCAATTAAATATTGCATTACTTTTCCAATTGTGTTATTGTGTCCTATGTTATGTGCAGTGAAAGAGATCTTCTAGAATTTCAACAACTAGGAATACATCAGATCTAGAATTCTAAATTTTAGAATTCTAGATCTGATGTATTTGATATAGATCTGATGTAATTGCTGAAATACTTCTTTTTAAAAAGGAAGAATTTCAGCAATTAGAAGGTGCTATAGTTTAAAAGTATAATTTAAAACTGTATGTAATAAGACTCAAAGATCGAGGAAATAGTATTTAAAATAGTATATTTTTATGAATATTTTTGCTATTTCATTGAATTGTGATTCTAAAAATATTATCTTGTTATAACATTACTTTCAATTGTAATGTGAATTAGTATCTAAAATTTTTGTAAGAATACCTTTATACATTATTTTCAATTTCTAATATGTGTTTTTAAAAAATTTGAAGCACAGAATATAGAAGTAATGGAAATATAAATTTTTCAATGTGTGTAGTTTGTATTTTATTTTATTATGAACTTAATATCTAGAGTTGATTTGTTCAATGCACTTATGAAAAAGCCCATCCTGGATTTTCGGGTTGGATGAAATCATAACCCAGAATTTCGATTATATTTATAGGGTAATCTATGTCTGTAACCATGTATTCATAATTTTACTCTCATTGTTTAACTTTTAAAATATTTTGTTTTGAATATTTTAGAACTTAATACCCCGAATAGCAGCAAAGTTGGATGTCTCTCCTATTTCTGATGTAATTGCTATTAAAGACGCCGATACTTTTATTCGAACCATATATGCTGGTAAATAAATTTCAATTGCTATTTCTACTAATTAATTCAATAAATGTTGAACTTTTTTACAGGCTTATAATAATGATTAAAGTTTATAATATCTAGCAATATATAAATTACTCGTTTTTTCCATGAATATGTATAAAATATACACCTGAATGCATCAGATTTTATTTTTAAAAAAGTATATTTAGTTATAACTGCTAGATAAGAATGTCAGGTATATTTTACTGAAAAACCTTCTTTATTCAATATTTCTTAAAGTTAAGCTGTTGGAATCAAATATTATATCATTGTATTTGATACTTTTATAGTAACCAGGGATGTGAGATTCGCGGATTTCCGTTTTTTTTTTTTCAGATTTTTTTTGTTTTTTCCGTTAATTTCCGCGAAAAATTTTTTCTGAAGTTTCTCTAAAAGTCATTTTCTTGGGATAAAACTGGTTGACCTGCAGGGATTAGATTTTTCCGCTTTATGGCGGATTTCTGCCATTTTCGCTCTTTTCTCTCGAATTTCAACCCTTTTTTTTTATCGAAAACTCTGATTCTCTAAAAGTTCCTTTTTTTTTAAAAAATTAATATCCCACTTTTTCTGAAAATTCAGACGTTGAAACAAAATAATTATATTTATTTACGATTTTCAAAGATAAACAGAAAATTCAAACTACGTCCTAGTTGCTAACCCTTCAGCATTTTTAGTTATTTTCTCCGATTTTACGCTCAGAAAATAAGATTTTCCGCATTTTTATCCGTCCGCCGGACAGCCGGATATTTTCGTAATTCAGACGTCGCTGCTTCCTGTTTTCTAGCGTGAAAGCAAACGAAAAAAAAAAATAGAGTTGGGTTTGCAGTGAAAATATTTATTTGCTCATTCAATTAATCTTGTCAATTTTTATTTATTATGTCTAAACAAAAACAATACAAACAAGCCTTTTAGAAATCCCAAGTCCAGACTCTGCAAATATCTCGATTTTTATTCACGCGATTTTAATATCAATCATCGATTTTCGTATTTACCTGATTTAAAAGTTGC